AACCGTTTTACCTTTCCCTTTCCTTACCCCTAACCCCCCTCTACCCACGGACCCCCCCCCCCCCCCCCCCCCCTTTTTATGTCCCTTCACCTCTCCTTACCTTGCTCAGGATGCCCTTTCTGCCACCCTTGCAGTCCGTTTTCGCCATTCCCCCAACTTCCACGAAGGCTTCACTTAAATTCTGAAAAATCTTTGACAAGTTTCTTGGCGTGCCGCCAGAAGGTTTGCAATGTCTGCAGGATGAGCTCAGATGATTCAGCCTTCAGCTTCTTATCCACGTATTCTAACTCTTCTTGGGCTCATTACACAAAATCCTCTCTGAAAATGCATCTATGTTTTCCTCCCATGTCCAGCTTTTCAATTGCAAAAGGACACTTCATAACCTCACACACCATGTCCACACTAGATTGTTGATACAGATAAAATAAATCTATCTGGACGATGCCAACTGTGACCACATTGGTGGCAAAAGTTACCAAACGATTCATTTGATTTTGAATCACAATAAAGTAATGCATCAAATGTTCTTTCTAGTCCTCCTGCTCCTTTCATCCTGCGTCTGCCAGTAGACAACTATTGGTCTTCCACTTTCACTTACTCTACTAAGCTCACTTCTAAGCGGTGGCTGACAGACACAGAGGCACATGACATGATATGGTCTATCTATTCTTCCTACTCCCACCCCACGACTTCTTCTCATGCTGTGTGATATTCGCGAAATCCTCGCATTTCATGCTCACTTTGTTGACGAGGCTCCCGTTCTTCTTAGAAGACTGCTGCTCTTCCCTTCTCCTCCTTGCAACCTACTGTCCACCTCCTTCCCTAGTATATCTTCACTTCTTCACCAGAATCTTCCTCAATCTTTGCTGCCATTCTTCCCCGGCTGCTTCATCTCCTGTTCTATTTCTGTCCAGCATTGCTTCGTTCTAACCTCCTCACTACCCCACCCATTTCCTCATCCCTTCCACCTTGATACCCCTTCTTTCTAGTATGGTAGATGGGGTCTTAAGGCAAACCAAAGGACCCCCTACCCCACTCTCTTCAGAATTTCGATCGATTTGCTATTGGCTCTTCATCGTTGAAATTATTCTTCCAATTTCTAAAGCTTTTTCCAACTCTTGGAGCATGATTATCAATTTCTCAAGAATATTTCAAACATTCAAATTGGTGCCCCTTCAAAGACCCTCCGGCGGCAATTTGTGCTGTTCAATGATGACCCCCACCTGCTGTTACCCCACTCATAGAAAACCTGCAGTACCACCCCCTACCCCCAATGTACACCCCACCTACCCATTTTGATGGAAATCATAGTTCTTTGTACCCCCTAAATCTACAACCACCCACCCTTCTTTCCCTTGCCCACGAGGACACCGTGTTGCATTTGGCACCACCCCTTATTGGACCTCATACTACCCCACCCATTCTCTCCCAGTAATCCTGCAAATGACTCCCACCCTACCCACGATCGTAACAAGCCAAACACCCCTGTAAACTAGGCTAATCCCCTCAGGAATAGAGGGTAGGGTTAATAGGGGTATAAAAGTATTTATTAAAATGGAGGGCCGTTCATTCCAACTACCCTACCCACCTAAACCATAACCTCTTGGACTACACCCCTCCGTCCAAACACCCCAGCCCTGCTACCAGTCAACCTTGAATCACCCTACCCCCCTTTTCTCGGTATTCTCCCAGTCAAGACACCCCAGCTGTCACAACTATTTCCCGAGGAAACCAGTACCGAAGTACCCCTACCACCCCATAATGCTCAAAACTCACCCCCTACCAATCATTCTCTTTTAAGGGTACCCCACCACATCGATTCTTTCAGAACCACCCCACCAGTGCTCCTGCAACTTCACAGTTCATCGATTACCCATTGATTTCCCATAGACTACCCTTGACTTGGTATGGTATAGTCTCATTCCATACCACCCCTACCAACAATTTCTCACTGCCCACCCTACCATACTCCACCAAGCTCCTGCTCCCCCAATCCTTTCGAGACATACAAGGGCTTGACTGACTTTTAAAAACAACAACTTTGTTTTAAACTCAATCATTATCTACCAAGTTGTTCAATAAGTATTTTGAAAATTCAAAATTAGTACATTAAAAAACCTGATTGTAAAAAGGAACCTATCTCTCCTTCTACTTAGACTGATTTTGGAGGCCTTTTAAAATGTTTTGGGCCGCTCAACACTCGATGTGGTTCCAGAAAGGTTTCTGATACAGTACCATAATTTTGTATTTAGTTTTGTACCAATGTTTTTATCAGGTACTAAATCGATTTCTTCTCGGCTCCAACAACAACCCTCTAAAAACTATACCCAATTTAAACTTTTAAAGTTAAAACCTGCTTCAGGTAGAACTTCGCCTCGAGGCGTCGATAACTGTGATAATGGCGGGGAGGCCGGGCAGCGGGATAGGTCGAAAGTCGCAGCGGCATGCAGGGAGCTGATAAAGCTCCACAGGAAAGTCAGTGAAGCAGAAGACTAGCGATCGTCAGAGGCTGCTGTTCTGATTGAATCTCCCAGTTGGAACCTGCGTTCCCCTGGTTCACCAGACTTGAGGAGGGCTCGGAATAGGAGTTGTTGCAGGAAGATGGTAGCTTGAAAGGAATGGGTGGACATGTAGTCAAGCGTGACCTTTGAATGGATCTGAATCCTTCTGCTCCCGAAAGATAGAGGAATCGTCAATCTTGCAGTTGTTGTTCGGGTTTGTTGACGTTGCGACATCTCTGGTCCTGCATGACAAATCCGATTCAACTTTGACGTTTTCACTCGGATCTTGCCGCCATGAAGAGAGCGGAAGCTGAACATGGAGGTCACACAAGTGGAGGGGAGTCCGGTGACGAGCTCTCGACCAGAAGAATTGAGCTCAGGACTGTGGCCCAACGATACCAGGACGCTTTCGAGCACGTTAGCAATGGGTTCCGACAAAGAGGAGGAGGAAAGAAAGACTCTGTCTCCAACTGCAGGAGCTTCAAGCTCCGCGTGCGGGCGCACGAGGACAAGTCAGACGGCCCTGAGGTGAACATCTGGATGTCGTTGCTGCCGGAGTACCCCCGCACACCGCAGTCCCTAGAGCTGGACGTGGAGGCGGTGGGAGGAGTCTCCGAACAGCAAGTGAAGGAGTTGCAGGCAAACCTGCGTAACCTAGTCCGAAACCTAGTCGGGAAGGAGATGGTCTTCGATTTAGCCAAGGCTGCGCAGGAATTTCTGGACAAGGCAATGAGCAACGGAAGTGTGCAGCAGGAGCGGAAACAGCCTGGGGAGGCATCACCCACAAGGACGAGTGAGAAGCCGAAGAACGGCAACGGGGCCCAGCAGGAGGGAATGAAACAGTCCTCGTTATTTTTCCGGCAGCAGCAGCTCATGAGCCAGAGGTTCAGGTGGAAACGGGTTATGACTTACAGGATGTCCGAGGACGGGAAGACGATGATGGCACCAGAGGTGCTGGGCATCGGGAGGTTTGGGACGGTGTACATGGCGATGGCAGAGTTCAACACACCTGGTGCTCTCCCTCATGCAGGCAGCGTGTTTGCGATCAAGGAGTTCACTCTGCGCAAGGACGCGATGAGGCAGGGCCAGGTGGACAAGATAGTTGCCGAGGTTGAGTGTCAACGTAAGCTGAATCACAAGAACATCGTTGAGGTGAGGGAGGGAGAATCGTGATAGATCTGAAGTGTGCGAGTGATAACTGAGATACTCAGGTCTATGGAGCCGAGATGGATACCGGCATCTTCCGAATCTTTCTTGAGTACATGCCCATGGGCAGTGTTGCTGCTCTGCTGCGCATGATGGGGCCGTTGGACGAGGATGTAGTCCGGCCCTTCACGCAGCAGCTGCTCTGTGGAGTTGCGTTCATGCACTCCAACGGGGTTGTGCACCGAGACATCAAGCCCGCAACCTGCTGTTGGGTATCAACGGCGTGCTAAAGGTCAGCGACTTTGGGGAGGCCAAGTGGCTGCCGAACGTGGTGAAGGATGCAGAGCATGCGATGCTGCAGAGCATGCATGGAACGACCCGGTACATGGCGCCAGAGGTTATCAAGAGGCAGTACACGATCGCAGCGGACGTGTGGTCGATCGGGTGTACTGTGTTGGAGATGCTGACTGGAGTGATGCCCTACTCGTCGCTAAGTAACGACATGGCGGTGGCAAGATGCGTGCTGAGGAACGAAGAGCCTCCTCTCATCCCGTCGGGGCTCTCGGAAGAATGCCATAGATTCCTGTTGAGGTGAGGAAAAAGGACCAAAAGCGAGCCCAGGGAGAGGGAGGGGGGGGGGGGGGGGGGGTTTGCACAGGGTAGTCGTGGAGGAGATAGAGTGAGACGTGCCTGTGTAAAGGGATGAAGAAAGAGACGAGGGAAGGAGGAGATGAGGGATGGAGACGGGAGGTGATGGGCATGTCGGCGTACTGATGTCATGCTTTCCAGATGCTTCACGAGGGATCCAGACCAGAGGCCATCTGCTTCTGAGCTGATGACAGACCCTTTCGTGTCTGGAAGCGTGGGAGTAGACTATCCCATGTCGCATCCCTCAGAAAACTCCAGCCACTCTCAGTCGATGTCTCCTCTGCAGCTTGCTTCTGATGCCGACAGCGGGGGGAGGGCTGGGTCGTCGGAGAAATCGTCGGAGGAGAAGTCGTCGGAGGAGAAGTCGTCCAACAGGTCTCACAACTCGCTGTGCAACTCTCCTCAGCCCATGTCCAACGTCTCGGAGGAGTCGGGCGAGCACACGCTTGACAACTTCGGCAACTTCGGCTTGTCGGTGTCCTCGAGGTACAAGCAAGAATTCGAGGAGCTCCAGTGGCTCGGGGAGGGAGGGTTCGGGGCCGTCTGGATGTGCCGCAACCGGCTGGATGGGCAGAAGTATGCGATCAAGAAGATCCGGCTGGACCCGTCGAATGCTGAGCTGAACAAGAAACTCCTGAGGGAGGTGAAGACGCTTTCAGGTGAGAATGATCAGCTTGCTGCTGCTGCTGCTGCTGCTATCGCTGGTGATGAGGAAGACGAAAAGTCGATCTTTATGATGACGATGAAGTGATGTTCTGAGTGCGCTCAATGTCATCCTCTCCCTTCCTCTCACCGCATCGCTCCTCCTGCCTCCACCTCTTGTTCGCTCGCAGCTGCTGCCTGCTGCTAACTGTCCACCAGGGCTCCATCATCAGAACGTGGTCCGCTACTACCAGGCATGGATTGAGTCTGTCAACGATCACAGCGGCAGCCACCGAGATCATCTCGACAGGCTGCAGGAGGCGGGGGAGCGCGACCAACAGATGCTCTACATCCAGATGGAGTACTGCCAGAAGACGCTGTCGGAGGTGATTATTGAGGAGGGGCTGGCGGACAAGGGGGAGGCGACCTGGAAGCTGTTCCGGCAGCTCGTTTCCGGGCTGGCGTACATACACTCAAAGGGTATCGTGCACAGAGACTTGAAGCCGAAGAACATCTTCCTGGACTTCAGCGGCGACATCAAGATCGGTGACCTCGGACTGGCACGGTACAGCCAGAAGCTGGCGGAGCAGGAGGACACAGAGGACGCGAAGGGGGGGCAGCAGCATGCGTACAAGGACAACGACGAGTCGTCGGCTCATGTTGGGACGATGCTGTACTTGGCTCCCGAGATCATCAACGGAGGAGGGAAGCCGTACAAGGACCAGAGCAAGAGAGACATCTACGCGATCGGGATCGTGCTGTTCGAGATGTGGTGCAAGTTTGACAACGTACTGGAGAGGATCACGAGCATCGACCGGCTGAGGAGGATGGATGTGTTTCCCGAGGGGTTCGAGAGGCTTCAGGTGCAGGCCAACAGGTCCAACGTCTGCCAGCTGATCCGCTGGCTGACCCACCACGACCCGCACACGAGACCCTCCGCCCTCGAGATCCTCGAGAGTGACTTGCTTCCCCGCCCTATGCTGGAGAGCGAGATTAGACAGGTGAGGAGGAGATGGGTTGAGGACGGAGAGGCGAACGGAGGGAGGGGAGGGAGCACACGGGAGAACGGAGAGGGACAAGGGGGTCGAGGGAGGATGCAAGAGTGGGAGACAATAAGGTCGAGGAGCTGATTTGTCTGGCCCAGGTCCTTGGAAGTTTGCAGAGCAAGCCGGAGCTCAGGGTGATGCTGATGGAAGCTCTCAATGGAAAACTGCCGCGGACAGGCTCATACAACAATCTCCTCAACAAGCACAGGTGAGTTGAGTTACAAAGTGAGAGACTCTCCTATCCTCTTGCCTTGCTGCTGCAGCCGTTGCTCTTC